CATATTATTAAGACTTCCATGACACTTTATATTATGCCAAATATATCATTAAAGTAAGAATTCTTACCCGAAATTGTTTAGCGATATTTCAGATTTTTTTTTTTGGATTTAAGTAATCTGAAAAAAATTCTGTTTGCAAAATTATTTTCCTTTACCATTTGAGAATTTACTTGTGTACTAAGTATTTCATTTATCTATTGAATGTTTCATCATGATCAGTAGTAGATTTATCATAAAATTTGTCATTTTCATTTGCTCATTAATGGAACTTATCCAAAAAAGGTTCTAACTAGCATATGAATTAATACATTTACTTGAACGTTTAATATAATGGGCTTTTAATTATGTTCATGAAATCGGGCGTTGATATATTGTATCTAAAGTGAAATATTCAATTAACTTTAACAGTTACCATTATGCCATGTGTTACGAAAACAGGAACAAAAAACTTGACTCATTCCATCCTGAAATGTTTAATGAAGTCTTAAAACTGTCTCATTTTTCATCAACCAGAAATTGCAAGGAAGCATATAGTATCAGAACGGAGAGGGAGGAAATTGGGATGCTTTAATATTTCCAAATTCTTTAGCAGCAACGGAGTACAAGGAAGAAACTAACATTGCCCAGAACAATAGAAGAAAAACCACACAAATGCAAATCACCACCAAAAAAATCTTCCATAAAATTAACAGAAAATTTCAATCCATTTCTGCTCCCTCTTCTAGTTCCACAACGCATACACCATCCGGACGTCGCTTCCGGAAATTCAAATAAAAACCCCATTGACCACAACCGACCGCTAATTTCATTTTAACAACATCGTTTCGTGATAAACGTGAAGCTATTTTTTCCTGATCGTAAGCATTAAGAATACATGGAATAGCCATTCCTGGATGAATAATTGTTGTTTTATCCTAAAATTTTCAATAAATGAAAAATTCTCAAATTATTCTTCTCTTTCTTTATTTTACCTTTAAATATCTGTTAGCAATGCGAATATTCTCATTTTAATTCACCACTTGAATTATCAATGCTTCCAAACTTTCAAAATATTAAATTGTCTAAAAATTTACGAATATAAATAACACTTTGGAGATTTGAGTTCAGGAAAGGAAAGAAGAAAACATTATGTGATTTAAAAAAGAATGGATAGATACCTGGTCAGCAATTGACCATAATGTACTATGTCCAACCCATTCGTAATTACCATAATCAATGTAAAATATCTCAACAAGATTTGAACATATCGCTGTTATTACCGCACGAAATTTGGCATTGAAACGTTCACAGTATGCAACACACAATGTCCCAATGACCTATGTACAATAAATTGTTTAGATCAAGAATGTTCATGATATATGATCATTTACTGTACGATGACCACGTGAGCCATGTCAAAGATCGGTAATTTTACTACCTAACGTTCCAATAACAAACTCAGAAATTTTCCCAATACTAAGCCATGATAAGGACGGTCACAATGAATAGCTGCAAAAGTATTTCAGTTCATTCCGCTGCCATCTACACTATCAGGATGATAAATTTGCTCTGTATCAGATATCCCAAATAGTTCATTCTATTAAGCAACATCTATTACTATTTCCGTATTAGCAAGAGGAGTGTTAGCAACTAAGGAATCCAAATGCGCCTCCAATATTTTCTGATATTCATCTGACTGTATCTGCACGAAGAACAATGGCCACAATGAACATGCTATATCTTCATCTGATCGTGAAACTGCATATTTATGCCCAAATTCCACATTGATATGAGCAAAGTAAGGCTGAAAATACTCCATTCATACTACTTATTAGCACAACAACTATACTAAAAATACTATGCAGAAACATATCAGAAACTATTCGTTAACATTTAAAATTGATTTCATTTTTGAAACTTATCAAATTTTAAATTTTAAACCTTTTTCCTAAATAATACTCGATGCTATATTTCAGAGCAACTAATCTTTCAAGTACCTTATATTTAAGTGTAATTGAGAACTCGTCTTTTCCATCATCATCCGATAATAATTTAATATCATGGTCCAAACATGAGTTGTTTTCCACCTAAATTTAAAATGAATATTTTGTGAAACTTAACCTACACTAGAATTCTACCAATATTGGCTTCCTTCTCTCACAACTCGATCACTGGTATGGATGCTTAGGACGCTTTTTAGTCTTAACTATACTTAATATTCCTAGTAAAACAAAAATATCTCTATATTACAACATACGAAACAAGGAAATATTGCATCTCCTACCTTTGATGACCCTGACAAAAATTTGTCACTAACGTTGGACTTTCGTCAAATTTCATCATGAATTCTTTAAAAGTTCACTTGTCTGATCAAAAATATGAAACTTATTTCTACATATTTCGTTGTATGTGAAAATTTCACCATCTTACTAAACTGTAAATGATTTCAAACGAGAACCGCCTGTTTGAGATCTCCATCAGAATCGCTGCCAGAATCCAATCCATCGTCAGACGATTCATCACTTGTATACAGCACCCTTCCTTTATTATCACGTGGCTTTTCAACTGCTTTCTTTTGCTGCAACATAATTATGTATCCTTATTATAGTAATATATGTCTAACCACATTTTCTACTTCTTAGTAAATATGATGCTTCATAATTTTTTGACAAATATGATTAAAAATGGCTGACTGAACAACTCTTAGATGCTTGTTACCGGATTTAACGTATCCCGATAAACGGTCTCAAGAAAGTGAACTGTTTCGTCCTTTTTTACATCAATATCTACTCATTCTGAGAGTGGGTAATTTACTACGTTCCTAGGATATGATAGGCAGGAATTGTTCAGTCATTCCGAACAACATGTTTCTAGAGATGGTGTAACCATGCGCGTGACAGGTTTTTGATCTTGTCTAAAAGAAATGACATTCACAAAAAAGAGAAAACTTGGAACTTCCAAATTTCTGAAATAAAAAGAGGTATTGCATACTTGTGTCTTCTTCATTTCCTGAGCCAAAAGCAATACAGTTGGCGGTGTCGATTGGCAGTATCTTGTCAAATGGCCAACTTTTCCACAAATCCAGCAGGATTCCGGCATGTTCTAAAAGAAGTATGGAAAGGTGCTTAAAATAAATGTGAACCTATAGAAACAAAAAACTATTAAAGTATGAACATCGACAATTTACCTGATCTTGAGCTTCACAGAAAGTCTTGCCAAATGTAATACTACCAGTATTATTTCTCGCTTGGCTATTAACATCGAAACATAATAAAGGCGCATTCTTTTTCTCTGAATGATATTGTATGATAATAATGAATGTGTTAACATAATAGGGAACCTACAAAATACTACAAATGATTTTATTCAAATTAGGAGAACTTATTTGAATGCAGCGGAGCAGATGAATTTGAAAATGAATCAACTGGAAAGAATTCAAAAAAGAGAAAGGAAAACAGTGCCTTGAATTGGAGGGGATGTTGAATTCGGCTTATGATTTGTCATCACCTTACTTTCTTCATTCTGAAACTTTAGAAGCAATGCTATTTAAATAATTAAATGTCATGGATTTCTCTAAAATCAAACTTGAGGACGTATTATTAACAGGGATTGGATAATAAAAAGAAGTGCAAAAAATGTAACATATACTTACAGAAGCTTTAAACAAGCCATAAAATAAACTGCCTCACGATGGTTTGGCTAAATAATTCTGAAACATTCTGATAAAAGGATTGGTTCTAGGAAGTCTCATGGCCGTACTATAGGTAAGAAGAACAATATGATGATGGTAAGGACCAACCGTGAAGGATGTAGTTTGAACAGATCCAGCAGACTTCTCGAAAGATAACGACAATGACGGGCGCTGTGCGTCATTCCTGTTCGAAGACTGAAAGTCTGAATAAAAAAGGAAGTAAATTTTAGAAGAATCCATTGCTGCTCTCTATGAGCTTCACTCTACAATAAACATAATTAAGTTGCTGTGTTAGATTAATAAATTGACCGATTTATTTGTTGGTTTATCTTGAAATTTCCCGGAAAGATAATCATTTAATGATTATCTGCAGTGATGTTATCTGTTAGTCACCCAAATCACAATATATTGCAACCGCAGTACTTGTAACAGTTGCACTTCCCCTACACCAAAATATTAAATTAAAAAAAAATCTTATTGGAAAGAATTACATTCATGAACAAAGATCAGTACCATACAGATGCTCTGAATATCCTACTGCAAGGTTATACATAAAGTTCTTACAAATGTGTTCCTTTTGTGATTTACCTTGAGAAGTATTCATACCCTCAAATTCTTTGGTTTGTTTCATTCGCCATCGTATCGCATCAGCAACAGTGGTAAGGTTGTTATCAATAACTGTCTGTTTTTTCTCAACTTCAATCGTTTTCTTATCACACAACTTTTTGCTTTCTGTTGATTCTTGATTTCTTTTCGCACCATCAGCAGGAGAGGTAGACCTTGACGACAGTTGACTATCCGCATTCGAAGGTGTATTGGAATTCTGCATAAATCGCAATCTTTCAACTACCAAAAGTCTTGAGGAAAAGTTTTAAAAGGAATTTTCGGAATTCAAACCAAGAAGGTTAATGTGGAAACAAATAATTGTATAATCAAATCAAAGGATGGCTAATCATATTTTCAGAAAATGCAACCAAATTAAAAGAAAAATCTGTGCCCTGAACCACTGAAATAACTTTTTAAACGAATAAATTTTGTGAAAACTTTAACGGTCCTAGTTGATTACCTTGCATGACGAGTGGATGGTAGATGAGGAATTGACAGAAATTGTTGAGATAGGACGGAAATTATTTGTAGATGTATAAGTGAATGGTTGTAAATGTGTAGCATTCAGACGTGACATTGTTGAACATCGGGTAGAAGTTTCATTTGAATTGGTGAAACAACGTTGTTTCATCTCCATATAAGCACCACAAAAGCAACATGATTTTGTAGTTTGATTCTCCAGATCTTGTAGTTTGATTTCTCCAGATTGTTGTGAACAGATTGTGCAGTCTGGCATCACTACTCGTAGTTGACGTGGTTGCTGATGAAACTGTTGGGCATAATCGATGGTATGTCGTTGAACTATAGCAGCAACATAAGGTCAAAAACAAATGCAGGAAATGAGATAAAAGTTGCAAAACTATATAAATAAAAATGTGAATTCGTTTGTTCCCAATCTTAAATCTCTCGATTGTTTTGAAATTTTGGTACAGCATTGCATTCCAATAACCCATGTTTTTTCTATACTTATTATATGAATGTCACACTTGTGACAGGTAAAAACATGCTTTTTTTGAGTAATATATAGTATATAAATATAGGAGAGGAGTTTTGATAAGCTCCATCAGGGTCATCATGGAGGTCATATACGCTTTTGCTTAGATATTATCGATATTATAAATATGTGTTCAAACTCGTATTATAAGATGTTGTAAATCAACTCATGTCGATTATCAAATTTAGGGTTAATGTCGATACATTCTAAAGAATCTCAAATCATATTCTAAAGGTCATCTTGGAGTCAATCGGTCTGACTTCATGGATTATAGTAAACAGACTTCCTGCGCATAAGGAGGAATTTCTAAAACCGGTAGGCCGGACATATTCTCTTTTATCTACACGCACAACAATGTTTTCTTTCGACCTCGTTATTCTTTTCCGATTTCGAATCATCATTAACATCACATAATCCAATTGTC